CGCCAATTACATGTAAATACGCCTATTATTTTCATTATTGGTCTTTTTTCAGGCTCTTATAATGTAGTAATTATTGTTTATAAGGTGTTACATAGTTCTGCGACTTGACCAAAGTGTGTTTTCAGCTTTTTCTTACTCAACTGTTTAAAAATTGTCTGTTTAGGTTTTGTTATGTGTATCTTTACATCAAAATTTAATAGCCTTTAAAAAGGCTTGTTTATTTTATATCATTATATAGGGTTGTTTACCACATACGACACGGAGTATTGTAGGTAAACGATTAGATTTTTACGAATTGTAAGTTTTGGGTTCGTTGAAGGACTATTAGAGCTACAATTTAAAAATATTTTTACAAGATACAGAGTGTCCCAAATAAATAAAAAATATCAAAGTTTTATTTTTTTAAACACCCTATATATTATTACATTTTTAGTTTCTACGATTAAAATAAAGGTAAATTTGATTAAGATTTATTACACTTAAACCTTACCGTTTATGAAATATTTTCAATTTTGTGAAATTGCAGTATAAATTTTAAGGCTTCATTTCTCCGAGAGTATTAACTTTTTTAATACTAAATATTTACTGAAGTGTATTTATTGATCAGTTATTGTGTTGCAATAATAAAAACTTTACTACCTTATAGAGAGTCTCTAAAAATTTATTTTAAATAATTACTAGCTTTAAACGGCAATAACTTGTTTGATTTAAATGGAACACCCTGTATATTTTATGAGAATGAGATGCACAATTTAATTGTCTATCAAATTGTATTATACCGTATTTTACCTATCTCTTCAAGTTTCCGTAGAAAATGCATTTTCTTGTAATTTAGAACTCATTTATCAATATACCCATGGAATACTGACATTTTAGATTATATTTTTAAAGATGTACCAACTTTTTAAAGAGTACAGATACTAATATTGTCGATATAGTTCGTTTATTTCATTAAAAAATAAAAAAAAACTCTTTAAATATTTGTCAAAGAGGACCAATTAATATGATTCCAGTATTCAAACTACATTAATTGACTGTTTGCGTTGATTAATAATAATTGCTTCAAATACTAAAAAGTTGAATTATGTATGTGTATTAGACAGTGTGGTAAAAAGTAACACCTTAAAAATGATATTTAATTTTTTGGCAAATGCTTATTTATAACAACAGATACGTTCATTTTCATAACTTATTATTATATTGATTTCTGATTCAAATCCACATTTATTTAGAATAATTTATTAACGAACACAATTAAGTATGTAGTTAATTAGTATTTGGGCGGAAATACTGGTGGTATATTATTTAATTAATGATATACTCTTTTATAAAGATTTAAATAGTTTTCTTTTTGCATACAAATGGGCTAGTAATATTATCGTTTTACTAGAAACGATAATATTACTAGCCTGTACATTTTGTACATTTGTTGTTTTAAAAATAATCTAAAATGTCAATATTCCATGGGTATATTGATAAATGAGGTCTAAATTATAAGAAAATGCATTTTCTACGAAAACTTGAAGGAATAGGTAAGAAGTGGTATAATACAATTTAATAGACAATTAAATTGTGCATCTCATTCTCATAAAATATACAGGATGTTCCATTTAAATCAAACAAGTTATTGTCGTTTAAAACTAGTAATTATTTAAAATAAAGTTTTAGACACTCTGTATAAGGTAGTATAATTTTTATTATTGCAACACAATAACTGATCAATAAATAAACTACAGTAAATATTTAGTATTAAAAACTTTGATATCCCCGGAGAAATGAAGCCTTAAAATTTATACTGCAATTTCGCAAAATTGAAAATATTTCAGAAACGGTAAGGTTTAAGTGTAATAAACCTTAATCAAATTTACCTTTATTTTAATCGTAGAAACTAAAAATGCAATAATATACAGGGTGTTCTATTTAAAAAATACAACTTTGATATTTTTTATTTATTTGGGACACTCTGTATCTTGTAAAAATATTTTTAAATTGTAGCTCTAATAGTCCTTCAACGAACTCAAAACAATTTGTAAAAATCTAATCGTTTAGCTACAATACTCCGTGTCGTATGTGGTGAACAACCCTGTATATAAAACGAAATTTTGTACCCAAGATATTCAAAAAAGCTGATATAAACAGACAAAAATGCTTTAGATTGACGCTTATTTACCAGTTAAAGTTTATTATTATAAATTATTAAGAAACACATTTTTTCGCACTTTTTTATTTAAATATTACTAAATTTTGTTATTGGTATACAGGGTGTCCCAAGCTGTGCGTTCATTAGAAGTTTCTAGAGAATTACAATTTCTAGATTGGAGATTTTTAGCACATCGTTGTTTCACAACGAGGTCTATTGATTTAAAATATTTTCAATAGGCGCCACTTCCGGAAATACCGGAAGTTGACAGCAACTTTTTTATTTTAAATGGGTGCCCCCATTTTTTATTATATACTTAAATTCCCTGTAAAATTTTATGAATTTTGATATTAAACACTCTATAAACAAATATTTAACATTTTTGGACAAAAAACTGCCTGTCAAAAAATGTATATTCTCTAACCCTCAAATTTAGTGATTACCACAGTCTCCGCGGCTATTATTATATGACATTCAAACAATTTGATTTTTGAAATAGATAGCCACATGTTTTCTCTTTATGGGCACCCATTTAAAATAAGAAAGTTACTGTCAACTTCCGGTATTTCCGGAAGTGCCGCCATATTGAAAATATTTTTAATCAATAGATCTTTTTTGTGAAACAATGATGTGCTAAAAATCTTCTATCTAGAAATTGTAGTTCTCTAGAAACTTCTAATGCACGCTCAGCCTGGGCCACCCTGTACAATGTGTTTTTCTTTATCAATAATTTATAACAAGAATTGAAAAATCATATAGTCGTATAATTGACAACATCTTACCAAAAAAACATTACAGTTTTAGGACATTAAAAGCTCTTAAAATCCTTGATAAAAAAATTCGTCTGTTTTTTCAAAAATCTTCGGAAGTATGCGAAATTTTAAACACTTTAAAGTGAAATTGAACAACTTTACCCTCATTTAACCGATCGGACTAGTGAAATAGACTCTTAATAAATATTTTTATATTAAGTCTAGATCTATGAATTCAACTATATAGTGGAGCGCCCAGAGACTTTTACCTCGGAATTCAATTACTGTTAATATATTAATGTGAAACCTTCTGTATTGTGTTTTATAGATAAAATACTAAAATGTTTACCCATTTTTTTTTGTTGCTTTTAATTTTTTATTTTAGTAAATTCTTAATTATTTCCTTCTTAATATTTTGATTTTTTAAATTCTTTTTCTAAGTAAATTTATTGAAATAAATAAATCTAATGCATATTATGCACCTATTCTGCTCATATTCTAATCATTGAAATTTTGATTGAAATCGAATTATACAGGGTGGCGCGTCATATGCGACGCGGTTTTTGCAAGGAGAACAAAAGTTTGTATTGAAGTGAAATTTTCTCAGCTTATGTAAGTCAATTTAAAGTATTTTCTAAAATTATGTAGAGTTCTACAGGGTGTCCCCAAAAAAAGTTACACATCAAAGTTATGTTTTTTGTAATGGAGCACCCTATATATTAATTGATTTTTGGATTCTAGTAAAAAAATAAAGGTTTGTTTCATTAGAAAATTATCTGACTAAAATGTATAGTTTTTGAAATACATTCACCGGCACGAAATATGGGCACTTTAAAACTTTGATGTATTTTAAAGGTTAATATATTTTATTTTAATAGGTCGATTTTGATGATTTTTTAAGCAGTGTGTTGCCAAATTATTTGACTTCTTAGTATCTGTTTCAAAATTAAAAATGAAACTCCCTATCTGTTAATTATACGAGGGAAAACAAAATGTTGATATTTTTGATGAAAGTTTAAAACACCCTCTGAAATACGTTAAAGCAGCAAGAAATTTAAAAAATATTTTACCATCTAGATACATCCTTTCTCGATGGTTTGTTTTTTGGTTCATCTCATTAGCTTTATTTTTGTTGGAAATATTCGGTTTTAAAGAAGGCACTAACCTTTTTCGTAATTTTTACATTAAGACCATGCCTTTGCTTTTGGGCCTAGTCAACACATCTAGTAAGTTCTGGTCCCGAAACAGGCCTTCTTGACATAATATTTGCTTTATTTAATCTTCTTCTTGTAGTCCGTTAGTTAATATGTACGGTTCTTAAGTGCAATTCATTATCAATTTGAAAAGCTGACAAACGGCGCGGCGGTTTCTTAGAGATAAACTTACAATAAGTCGATCGTCTCGATTAGAAGTTCTCATACGAAGGTTCCCGGACGTCCAGATTGACGTCCTCATGGACGTGGTCATAATTCAAAAACCACTTAGTATACTCTATGGTATTAAGGTATTTTTGGAACCAGAATTTTATAGCAAAATTCACTAAACTCGAATAAATAAATGATATATATATTTGACTCTCCCCGTATATCTATAAAAATATTTTTGAAATGTGAACTACCATTAAACATATATTTTGTAAAAGGTTTGGAGTGAAAATCTCAAATAAAAATCCTGATACAGAGCTTTTCCGGAAAAACGGAGCCATCTTGTTTGTATGTATTTGTATATGTTTGTGTTTATTTAAAATACTACTAAAATGAAAGCAACGAATTTAAATAGGTAAACTTTGTAATATATCTTATTAACAATACAATGCAAAACGTTTTATAAAAATTCGTTCACAGTAAATGAATTCCGAGGTTTGTATCTCATAAGGGCTTAAAGCACTCCACCAATATTAATTAACAATTTGACCAAAAATAAACATAAATATTGTAATACTTCCTACACAACCATATAAAAACAATAATTACAGAGAATGTTTATTAGTTAATTTAGACATTAGGCCTTATCTACATAAGATAAGGCATTGTAAATACAACGAAAATCGACTTAATAACACTGGCCAGTCACCTCGTTTCTTATATTCTCAAATATTTTTGGCGGCCATCGTCACCAGTCGATCGTGTAAAAAACAAAGCCTCATTCATATTTCCCATTAATACAAACAACGCACACACATTTCGAAATATCCTACGTCCAAGAAGATAATTGGCTTCTTCGTATAAATACGGTACTCCAGCAGTACTTTGCATCACACCACTTTTGCATTCCTTCGAGCAATACGTTAAAGAATTTTTTTTCATCAAAAAATGTTCGTGAAAATTTCCGTGCTATTTTTCGCAATTATGTCGTTCGTTTCAAGTGCACCAGCACCCGGGTTCCTTGGAGAGTACCATGGAGTACCCGCTGCAACCTCGTACTCGTCTAGAATCGATATTCATGGACCAGACTACGTGAAAACCTACGCTTCAGCACCTGTGATAACGAAAACTGTCGTGGCCACACCAATTGTGAAGGCTGTGGTACCTGCTGTGTACCATGAACCTTTAGTGGCTGGGTATGGAGGTTATGGATATGGTCTGAGTCACGATTACGGATTAGGGTATGGAGTGGGTTATGGATATGGTATTGGGCACCATTACTGAAGAGAAGGGATCAAGTATTTTTTTTTAAACCGTGATGTATTTTATGTAAATAGTTTATTTGTGTTTATGTGTGTTAAGTTATATTATTTTTGTATGATAAATAAATGCGCCAGTTTGTATTAATATGAGTATTGTGTATATTTTTCCTTTCAGTTTAATATAAAAAAAAAACATGCCAAAAAAGCATTAGGGTTATTTTTTTTAATTTTATTTATTTCGCTGACTTTTTTCTCTAATATTGAGTTATGCAGTCTTTAAAGCGTTAAACATTCAATATAAGCTTTAAGAAACAAGAAAGGGTATATTCACAAATTAATATTTCAAGGAATTTATTACTAGAAGAAAAAAATATTGTGCTGGGTTGGCTTGGTTTTTATGTAATGTGACAAATAAATAAAGCTGTCTCATTAGTTGTCAGTTTTGAGTCAATATTTTCAATTCTTATTTGTCGATTGCTGATTGAATTGGAGCCAGAAATGGCTCAAAACGAAATAAGTAAATTACCAACAGATATTTAGGCTGAGGCAACAAACGCCATATCCAAACTACTTCCATTTAAATCCCGAATAACTTATGAAAACGAATACAAACATTTTCAAAAATGGAAGCAATTAAGAAACGTACGAGAAGAAATAAAGTTTTTAACCTATCCTCGCTGTTAAAGTATCATTTAATCTACCTTTGCGGTTACACTACTATTTTTAATAGATATAAGGCAATATAAAATATATTCCACCCCTAGTTTCGGTAGTTTCATCCCCTTAAAGGTGGAATTTCCGAAAGTTGCTTCTTAGTGATCAATTACGCCGCTTAAGAGACCTCTGTGCAAAATTTCGTACTATTAGAACAGATTTTAACAGCTTATTATGCAACCTTCTATCCCTAATTTCAACCCCTTAGCGGTCGAATTTCCAAAAATCTTTTCTCAGTGCTTTTTGCTTCTCTTTTCTTTATTTAGTGCCACCGAAGTTAGATACACTATTTTTTTGACACCCTGTATAATCTATGAATATCTTTGGGACTATAGCAAAGAATATGCCTAGCTAGAAAAAGAATGGACACTGCCATACTGAAAAATGGTCCTATAGAAGTGGCGCCATCTACTGAGTAGGGCTTGTTTTAAACGGATTGAAGCGCGGGCTTTTTAAATGAGCGTATTTATTGAATTTTACTCTAAAATAATTAAATTTGATTATTAAATCTTATTTTTTACACAAATTCAACAATACTAATAACAAGTATCGTTGTGATGTGTAAAAAATAAGATTTAACAGTATAATTTATACAATTATTAAACAAAATTAAAGCCAAACATGTGTAAATGGTTTTATTATTTAAAGTTTTTATTTATAAGTCAAATATTTAAACATCGTTTATTATAATAAAACAAGACCAACGTAACACGCTCAAAGTTTTGTAAATGGAGTAAATATAAATAGGTACTTAAATCATGGCAAAAATAAATGACTTACATTATATTTTTAGGGCCACAAACAAAAGGAATTGTCTAATTAAAACACATATAACAAATTATAGTTTGAAAAACGTTTTGATAATCATTTGATAATATTATGATTGGCGCTATGACAACGACAATATTTTTTGAGAATTTGAAAATAGTATGACAATGGCCGTTGGAAACTATGGAAACTACAAAAAAAATCTGATTTAACGCCATCTGGCAATAACTAGTAGCAACTTCTTAACCTAAAAATTAATTGCACTACCACCTAGCGCCTGAGGCTGGAACTATTTTATTTGAAATTTCCGTGGAAACGGTGGGACCGCTTTTACTATTTCACTTTCCCACCCCTGGACTATAGTGTCCAAATTGTTCTGTCATAACACAGCTTTTAAAACTTATTAAATATGGATTGATTTACAAATTCATAAAAATATTGTCAAGTTGTTTAGGATATATGGCTACTTTTATATTTAAAAAATTAAACATATATTTTTCAGTCATTTTGAAAAACCAGGGCAATAATTCCAAAATATGACCTTGTCCCAACATATAGTTGTTAGGGCTCGTACTAGGAACAATATCGTGATTTAATAGTCTTTTTGACTAGTAAATCACAATAGTGTCCTTGAAGTGAAATCGTTTACTGTACTTATTGATGCTATTAAACAAAAATAACAAAATTAATTACACTTTTGACTTTGTTATCTGTTAAAAATATATTTTTTTCGGGATAAACGGATAATTTAAATTAAATAACAGAACCAACGTTATTAATAGAACAAAAAAATAATGTTGGATCGTACTTATTAATCTTGCTTATTATTAAGTTGAAAATGGGTGTGTTGCTTTATTTAAATTTTGTATATCTCTATAAACAAAAACAAATTGCTGTTCGCTGATAAATGAATTAGTTGAGTACCGCTGAACGGATAAGTCTAATTATATTTTTGTAATATTCCAAAGTTAAGCGTCCATTTCACTTGTTAAAAATAAGTAATAAATATGTTTGTTTTGTCACGGCAACTATGATGTTATAGCGTAATTGTATTAAAAATTAGGGTAAAAATAGAAAAAATTGGAATAAATCGCAAACTATTAAAAATAGGTATATGACATACTTAATAAAAGTTGAAGAGCTTTGCAAAATCTATCAGAAAAAATGAAAATATATAGGGTGTACTATTTAAAAAATTGGAGATTTTTAAATTTTAAGTAGTTGAAATTCATAAATATATTTTGAATACCCTGTAGCATTTAACTAAAATATCTTAACATATATCTTCTTTTTAATCTCTATAGAAATCTCATACCAAATTTTGGTATTCCAACTTCAGAAACAATGGTACAACTGACAATTTTTTACCACACTGCAATTTAAAATTTGTATAAACAAATTTAAATATTACAAAAACTATTAATTTTAGGTATATAACATTATATATAAAAAAGTTATAGAATTTTACGCAGAATCCAAAAATAAAATAAAAAATAGGGTGTTGCATTTAAAAAAATATGTGTTATATCCGCCACACATTTTTGAAGGACCCTGTATACTCTATAATAATTTTAAAATGTGTATCTTAACCTTCCCTATAACTTTTGTATTTAACATTTTTTTGTAAACCTCGAAACAAATGAGATAATGGACTTTATTCTATCGTTGACTCACCCTGTACAGCGTAATATACTCTTAAACTCAGGATGCTATATAAAGTTCTTTGATTATTCTTAGACCTGGTTAAACAGTAAATGGTATGCAACGTTTATACCCTTGAGGAGGGTTCATTTATTCAAAGAAACCTGGATTTAAGAAGAAATTAAAGAGTAGAGAAAATGATCTATCATACTATTTTCTAATTCCAGTGATAAATTTGAGATTTAAAGACCTATGTATATTCTGACCAGCAATAAAGTGGTGATATATGCAATGATTTTATTGTCACACGGTATATTTAAAACGTTTTTAATGACATTGAAACAATAATCATTTATTTTTAGACATTCGCAGATTATTATTGACACATTGTCATCTACTTGGTTCATAATTTTCCTCATTTTTTTTTCAAAAATATAATGGCTCGATTATTTTTAAAGGCAACACCCCAAATTGAAGCAGACAGAAATTTGTTACGTTTTAGTTCCTACGAAGAGTACCTAGATTCGTTGAGTACCACCCAAGATGCCTGTTATCTACAGAGTGTTGAAGCTTCAAGAGTTATAGCAAACTTAGGTACGAATATAATTAAAATAATCCTTTTAAACATTATTAATATTAAACTAATTATTTTTAAACGTTTTAATAATTTACAATATCATTTTTTTAGTTTCCTCATATTATATACCTAGCCCAATATAATTACTGTTGTCTTTATACCTAATTGATCTTGATTTTAATAGTTTAATAAATGGAATATTTTAGTAGGGCAAAAATTATTATTTAAATTTATTATGTTCAAATATATTTGATAATTAGTCATTTGGCCTTGATAGTTTTCTTAAAAATGTTTTTGTTTTGTAAAATTATCATGAATTTCTGCTTAATTTAACATTATTATTGAAAACATATTAGAAAATAACGTATTAACAATTTTTATCATATTAAACATAATCAGAAAAAACTGATATTTTTGTTTTCACTAATTTTTCTTATTTTTTTGCATCGCTATCAGAGATTTTATTTTAAGCCAATTTAATTTAAAAACAAAATTGAAAGCTGTGTTCCAGGATATTCTTTACTGTCTCTGAAACGGCTTTACAGAAGTTAATTATAGTTTGTAAACCTAAGGTATGTCATTTAATTGAAATTAACATTGAATTAATAATAAAATTTCGGGAGACGATAATGCAATTTTATTGTCGTGTATAAAACAATATTTTTTTCCATAGCGAGATACGTTTTAAAAATATTCAGAAATTATTATTTCAAGGAATTTATTACGAGCAGAAAAATATTGCGCTGGGTTGGCGTTGGTTTCTATGCAATTTGACAAATAAATAAAGCTGTCTCTTTAGTTGTCAGTTTTGAGCATAGACAAACAAATAAAAAGAGACTGACAAATCTCATGGTAAAGAGTGGGACCACGTTCCCGTAGCGCAACTCGCGCAAGAATAACAATTTTGAAACCAATTAGCAGGACCATGGCAGGACGTACGTCTTTATTGCTATCTTTCTTTATTATGTGTGCTTTATATGAAAAAGAAAGAGATAGGTATAAAACGTATCGTAAGACATTATCGCACATTCTAGCTGGCGGAAAATTTAAATTAGCCATTATTAGTAGTATTCTTTCATTCTGAAACTGAAAATTTTCACTTAAACTGATTTATTCCCTATACCACGTAAAGGGAACGTGGTGTAGGGAATAAATCAGTTTAAGTGAAAATTTGTAGTTTCTTTCAGAACGAAAGAATACTACTATTATAAGGGAAATTATAAAAAAAGCAAAAATTTTACTGTTTTATAGACATATTTATTTATACATAAAAATAAATAAACTTTTTATAATATAATAACAAAAAATAACAGTGTTTATTCCACCCACCTACCAATTTTAAATGCAGAAAAACTGACTGTTGCAGGAAACGATCGGCAATTTTTTAAAGGGCATTAAAATCTCATTTTCGAGAAAAAACTGCCTAATTGCAATAACAAAGTGAATATCAAGCAAAGAAGACTTTACGAGAATCATGATCCTGAACCATTTTCAAGTCCAGTTTTAATCCTAAAACAAAAGTAAATTAGGTATATTAATAAAGTTTCTGGTTACTATAAACCAGCTATAAACTACCTACCCAAAAAATTAAAAAAATTAATTGTATTAATTTGTTATGTTAAGAGAGATTCGAAATATTTTTGACACTACTACTTCTACTTTTTTCTTAATAAGATGATAAATATAACTACACTTACTTTTATTTTACCGGGTGTCTTTAACATATCTATCAGAGAAAGGGGGCACCGATACATATAGAAAATATATAATACTGGCTCCTGCAGCAAATAAAATAACAAATAGTATAACCTAAAATTATAAGTAACAAAATATAAATACCTATATGTAACAAAGGAATTTGTTCCCTATCCATATTCATAAGTCAATAAAATGGAGAGTTTAGAAAAAAAGGTAAATCACCAAAAGAAAAATTAACAAACATGACGAATTGTCATGATGTTGTCATCTTGGTTGTCATAATGACGAAAACGAAAGGGGATTGTTCTAATTTCTATTTAGAAATTACGTTTTATATGGCTGCTTCTTTCTCTCTTGTTATATTAGAATGAGATAGTGGGCCTAATAGATGCAATGCGCAGATCAACATAAATAGAACGAAATTTTGCGTTCTGAGTTGCGCTACGGGAACGTTGTCCCTCTCTTTGCCATTTAATTTGCCAGTCTCTTTTTATTTGTTTCTCTATGGTTTTGAGTCAATATTTTTTAATTCTCTTTCATGTCGATTGCTGATTGAATTGGAGCCAGAAATGGCTCAAAACGAAATAAGTAAATTACCAACAGATATTTAGGCTGAGGCAACAAACGCCATATCCAAACTACTTTCATTTAAATCCCGAATAACTTATGAAAAGGAATACAAACATTTTCAAAAATGGAAGCAATTAAAAAACGTACAAGAAGAAATAAAGTTTTTAACCTATCCTCGCTGTTAAAGTATCATTTAATAACTAAATAAGTACTATTTTATCTACTATTTTTGATAGATATAAGGCAATTTTAACAGTTGCTATGGAAAACAAAATTAAAATGACTTAAAATGTACCTAGTAGCTTAGTCGCAATTAATAATTTTATTACACTTGGTGTTATTTTCTACGATTTATCTGGAATTTATTGAAATATATTATTAAAAATATTTTTGCACTTATTATTAGGAACTTTGTTTCTGGTAATACATTTTCAAAATAAGCATTTCCTGTCATATATTTATTACTTTTTTTTAAATTTATTAATAACAAACATTCTTATTGAGATAATTTTCGCACCAATGCGACTAATAAATTGCCTTCTTTGTATCCTTTTTTACTTTTTCATATTATGGTTATTATTAAAAATCCTCAATAAGGTCTATGCATAAAGAACTTAACTATAAGTACGATCCAAGGTTCAACGGCAAGGCTACATCTTTGACTTAAATCCGTTTTTATGAAAAAAAGCACGTTAATATGTTGCAATAATAAGATTATTGTTGTGGTAACAGGTATATACTAATCTATTTTAAATTTCTGTTATTTATTGTTAGTAATTATTTCAAGAATATCATTTTTAGCTGATCACTAAGCCCGACTGTTTGAATATAGTGATATTTTAGTTGCCTACCTGCTAAACTTCATTTTTATATAGATGTGTATTTCTTTAAATCTTGGATTTAATATTGTTTTAAATTATAACATATATTATACAGAGTCACTTATCAAGACTGTGCCTTTTTAAAATATCCAATATCCATGGCATCAATATAAATCACTCTATCATAAAATAAGGCCCAAAAGGACTAAAAAAAAAATAAAAATTATAAAATTTTATTTTTTTCTCTAAAATGCAGAATATCATATTGTTAAAAATATCTTTGCCTAGAGTATATATATATGCTAATTTTTTTTCAAATTTCAGGTTATAGAAGTTCTGGAGAAACACTTAGCCGCGAACAGTTTGAAAGAAGACTTGCTGCTGTTTTGAGCTACTTGTATCCACCGTACAAAGCTTATGAACTTTCCAGTGAGGGTTTTATAAAGTCTGACTCTGACCCTATTTTGAGAGATTTATCATCTAGGTAAAACCGTTGTTTAAATGGTAATAGACTCGTCATAATTAGGCAACACAGAAACACAGAGAGTTACAAAAGTATTTCAATAATTTCACTCATATACTCGGTTTTTCTGAAAAGTGACTCATTCCTATAACTTTTTGGATCTATAAACGAGATTTTGTACATTAGTATATGACATAAATCAGGATTGAAGATATTCAATTGTTTTCGGTCACTTCCTGTTTCACCGGAAATGACTACAACTTTTGATTTTTAAATGGCACTCTCGATATTTCTTTACTTTGTTCGATAGAAGATGACGCCCTGAATAGATTGACATATTATATGTCAAATTTTGACATTTTTGCATACGGTTTATTTGAAATTGTAACATGCGGCTTATAACGACAATTTGACTCGAAATATCTGGAGTGTGTGGTACCAAATTATGCGTAAAAAATGCTTGTTCCTAATATACTAATGAGCCACCATCGTTCCATTTGAAAAAATTGAGATGTGATTAAAAATACGATTTGGGCATCTTTTAACCGGCCAGAATAAGACACGAAAAATATTAGACTATCAAATATATTTTCTTAAGGATCATTGATTAAACATTTGTGTTTTTAACACGGCCATACCGCTCCAGATTAAAATTTACAAAAACAAAATTAAGTAAAAATGTCAAAAGTTGACATACGATATGTCATTTTATTCAGAGTGTCATTTTCTCCGGAATGGAGTAAAAAAATAACGAGGGTACCATTTAAAAAGCAAAATTTGTAGTCATTTCCGGCGAAACAGGAAGTGACCGAAAACAATTGAATACGTCATTCAATACTAATTTATATGTTATATACTAACATACCAAATCTTTAAAAAAATGAAATTTTATGTAGTAAAATCCAATATACAATTTTTTATTTTTTTGAGTGATAACAATTTTTTTTTAATAAATTATAGAGAACGAGCCAATAGGATAGGAGTTCTGTCCACGATCATATTTTTAAGAGTTTTTTCAAAAGCCGGCATTGAAGTCTCGGGATTCATCGACTATACAGAGAGACTGACGAAAGAAGACTTCAAACCAATATTTAAAGGTGAGTTAGTACTTTTATTTGCACTAACATTTGAAGGGTCCAGGGGAAACTTGATAAGCGCTAATTTCTTAATTTTATGATTTTACCAGATTATTAGCAAGTCTAATTGATCCCTACAAAATGTATAAACTTTGCAGGGCAATATGTTGTTAAATCTCATGATATATGCATAGTAAAAATATAGTATGAATATAAAATATAAAAAATATGAATATACAGGGTGAGTTTCCTACGATGTTCTCTATGGGTATCTCGGAAACTACTAGAGATAGAGAGTCGGTTAAATGGGGAAAGAATTGCAGTTTTGTGGGGTCATAAATATGCTCCTTTCAGATTTTTGAAAAAGTTCATGGCTTACTACATATTTCGAAAAAATCACATCCTTAATGAGACTGTGTCCTCCGTTTTCTTCTAAAGCCTGTCATTTTTGACATATGACAATATGTCAAACATACGTTTTTTTAAATGGAAACCATAGTTGGCCACGATTTCATAAAAAGTGCCATTTTTTAAGCTTTTCAGCGATATAAGGTATAATATGTTTTCTTCGAAAAATTACTGAGTTATAGCCAATTCTTATTATTTTTAAATAATTTCACTTAGTCATGGAAACAAGTTCAATCGCCGTTGCTCTCAGAAATGTGAAGCTGTCACATCCAAACTTTGTAAATTAAAATAAACAAAAATTGTAAATATGAATTTTTCAAATGAAGAAAAGCGTGTAGATACTCGCGCATCAATAATAGTTGCATGACTTTCATTATGACTGTTCCAAAATATCTTTGAAACAGAAAATCCATTTTTCTTAAGAAATACGTTTAGGGTGTTGTAAACCATCTTATCGCTCCAGATGGTGGCCATAAGATGGTACCCACTTGACAATACCCTACGCTTTCTAAATTTCCAAAAAAGACAGTTCCCACGATTCGCTCACAGAGTGCAGATGCCCAAAAAATATAATTCTCGTTTGCTCTCTCTTATGCCTTTCGGGTCGGTTTATCAAAAACACCGAAAGAGCTAAAATTTAATACTCGATTGAGCTCGAATTAATTTCTATTATCTCTATCTCTATTTAGATAATAAGTTAAGTGTAAAGTTGTTGTTACCAGTTGAAGTTGTTTTGGTTTGAAGTCAGTGTAAATTTATTTACGGGAATCCAACCAACCTGAAAATAGACATAATCAAGCTGTTGACAGGTGCCAGTAAACCCAAAAAATACAGTCCCCAACAACACTCTCATAAATTGTGTAGCGGCAAGATTACCGCACAATGACTCCCCCCAATGAAAGAAATGTTAAAAATTATTTATATCATAATTATGCAAACTCAGGGATAGGAAGAGGTGGACCAATTGCATGGGCCTTCTTGATCATCTGACCTATACATTTTAGATTTTTTTATGCGGTATGGTTAACAATAAAGTTTACAAAAGAACTTATGAATTAAGAGAGGCACTCGAATTGGCGATACGAGAGAAGTTTAATTAAGTCGACCGGTCCTTCTGTGAGAATAGGTAGTAATTCAGTTTTAAAAAGATGCAACTCAAAACAATGGCGGATTTTTTGAACACTTTCTAAACTAACTTAAAGTGTATGCAGTGATATTATTTTTTTAAGTTTTAGTTTGTGTAATGTAAATTGTAAGCTTTTAGAAGTAGTAGGCTTTTTGAAAGTAGCCAAGAAAGATAAGAATTGGCAATAACTAAATTTAACTTTTCTAACATGTCTTTAAAACCGTTCTCTAAGAAAAGTAACATTCACTGGTTAACGCATCCTCGAAAATGTATGGTCAAGAAAAGTTGAACCAAGCGTGTAGGAGCTTTTCTTCATTTGAAAAATTCATATTTACAATTTTTGCTTATTTTAATTTACAAAGTTTGGATGTGACAACTTGACATTTCTGAGAGCAAAGGCGATTAAACTTGTTTCCATGGCTAACTAAGTGAAATTGTTAAAAAAGTATAGAATTGGCTAACTCAGTAATTTTTCGAATAACTCAGTTTCAATAACTCAGTAATTTTTCGAAGAAAACATATTATAGCTTATATCGCTGAAAAGCTTAAAAAATGACGCTTTTTATGAAATCATGGCCAACTATGGTTTCCATTTAAAAAAAACATATGTTTGACATATTGTCATATTGTAAATATGTCACAAATGACAGGCTTTAGAAGAAAACGGAGGACACAGTCTCATTAAGGATGTGATTATCTACAACTTTTATCTCAAAACTTTTTGTCTAAAATAGCTTATAATGGAATTAGGGGCAATTTTTAAAATAGCCGAAATTTGTTTTTTTCCAAATATCTAGTAAGCCATGAACTTTTTCAAAAATCTGAAAGGCGCCTATTTATGACCCCACAAAACTACAATTCTTTCCTCATTTAACCGACTTTCTATCTCTAGTAGTTTTCGAGATACCCATAGAGAACATCGTAGGAAACTCACCCTGTATAAATATTGTATAGAATACACGGCAAGAACCTGATAACTACCAGCCGTCCAGTGCTCTTCTGTAAGAAGTTCTGTTCTAGCTAGATCGTTTGCTTCTTCATTACCTTCAAACTCTTGGCCCACTGATATTACAGATATCTAAGTTCAAAAAAAGATCAAAAAACTTGACCAAACATAAATCACTTCTTGCATTTTAGGTGAAAAGAAGTTGATGCCAAAGAGATTTGACTTGGGTTTCTTCCACTGGAAATCTGGCGATGTAGTTTCCAACGACTCGCTCAACTACAAAGTGATGCAACATCCCCAGAAAGGGCTGATATTCCAGAACAGGTTCGATAGGAAAATTATCAACCCTGATCCAGCTTGTGAACCAGGTACGAACTGTTATTGTGACAAACTCACTAGAGCATTTTGCTCCGAACGAACCAAACGAGCCGAGCGCGCAGAGCCGAATTCGGCAAATGAATACGTGTTCGCGAGCAAAATTTCACCGAACCGAGCGCGCCAAACATTTTCGCCGGCTTGTCGGTACGTGTATTTTGCTCAAAGGGGATGCGTTGTTCAGTGGGTACGGAGGTTCGTTGCGTTCATGGTGTTCGTCCTATTCGGAGCATTCGCGGCTAAAAATTTTCGTTGTTTTGATTTTTCTTTGCTCAAACGAAATGGTGTGGAATAGAGAAAAGTGCCTTCAGTTAATAGATATTTATGAACAATATCCAGTGCTTTGTATAATCCAAAGGATGAATTATACTATAATAAAGTTAAGAAGTTTGATGCGTGGAGGCAGATAGATGAGATCATGGGATGTGTTTCTGGAGAAGCAAAGAAAAAAATTGAAAGTCTTCTGGCAAGTTTCAGAAGAGAGAAGGCGAAAGGAAAAAAATCTATTGGAACGGGAAAAGGTACATTTACACACTCGCTGCAGAACGGTGACCTAGAGATTCAAAGCGCGAATAAAAATTAAATACAACTGAACGTGGGAACACAGCGAACGTAACAAGCACTCTGAACATCGCGATCTTTTCCGTACTGAGTTCGTTCGTGCGCGCTCGGCTCACTTGGTTCGTTCGGACCAAAATGCTCTAGTGAGTACGCACCTTTACATATTGTAATCGCAAAACATTTTCCGATGCACGTCATCAATCATATCGACATTGACACTAAAATCTATAAACCTGACTAATTGAAATGTTGGCAAAAATGTTTAAATTTGTTGTATAATTTAAGATATCGAGCAGCTCTTCATTTTCAAGCGATCTCTTGAAACAAGAGGGGTCAACAGTACGATAATTTGCTGGTTTTGGGAAATGCTCTCAACACGAACAGTAGAGGCTGAGATAAGTACCAAAACTGTAGTTGTTAAAACAACGCAAGGAACTCCACAAGGTGGAGTGACCTCCCCCCTACTGTGGAGCTTGGTAGTGGATGAACTACTGGAAGAATTAACTCTAGCGGGAATACACTGCATAGGGTACGCAGATGACATAGTCATCACTGCACGGGGGAAACATGAAGGCACCCTGTGTGATATTATCCAAAGAGGACTCCGCATCGCTGAGAGATGGTGCAGGACTGTCGGGCTGAGTATTAACTCAGATAAAACCGCAGTAGTGCCATTCAAAGCGAAGTTTGAAAAACTTGAAAAGAATCCATCTAGATGGAAAGAAATACTGCCATCACAGAAAGTGAAATATCTGGGAATAACCCTGGATAGTAAACTTCTCTGGAACAGGCATATTAAGAACATTACCAGCAAAGCCACAAAGGCTCTCATGATATGCAGAAGACTGGCGGGAAATAGGCTAACATTTTGCGCTGGATGTATACCATGATAGTAAGACCCATGATTACTTATGGAGCAGTTGCTTGGTATACAAAACTAGAGCAACGTACAGCAAGGCAAAACCTGTGCAAAGTACAGAGACTGGCATGTATCTGCATCACAGGTGCCATGAGAACATGTCCAACAGCAGCAATGGAGGTCATTCTAGACCTAACACCACTGCACATTGTCGTCGGTAGTTATGCCAATGCGACAATGATTAGAATGGTTACTGACGGAAACAGTACTGGGAGAATTTTTCAGGTCAGGGGCTTGGAACACCCTCAAAAAGAAAATTCCACTTCTCCAACTCCAGTGGATGACATACCAAGAATTTACAATTTTGAGAAACACCTCACTGTAGTATTGAGTAATAAAAAGGATTGGGAAGAAAGAAACGCTTACTCAGCATATAAAAGACCATACCATCACGTGGTATACTGATGCTTACAAAACCAAAGCAGGGACAGGGATAGGAGTATTTGGGCCGAAAACTGAATACTCCGAACCAATGGGCACCTACCCCAGTATCCTTCAGGCAGAAATTTGCGCTATCGAAAGATGCGTGCAATTTATCTTAGATAGGAACTATCGAAAACAGGACATTGCCATCCTATCCGATAGTCAAGCAGCACTTAACGCGATCAACTCAGTAACCATCAATTCGAAGTTGGTCAAAGAATGCCCAGAGAAGCTCAACAAATTAGGCAAAGAAAATAAAGTCTTCCTACTCTGGGTGCCTGCTCACCAAGGGATAGAAGGCAATGAAAAAGCAAATGATCTAGCTAGAAAAGGAGCGAACACTCCACTAATTGGACCAGAACCGTTCTGTTTTCCAAACGGGAACCAACTGAAAGCGGAACTGAAGAATCTGGAAGACTCCATACGTAACTTGGAATGGGTGTCCTCCAACGGTCTAAGACACTCGAAAAAGTTCGTTAGAACTTATGACCGAGAAAAATCAAAGGTTTTCCTTGATTTAAGTAAAAACAATCTTCGGATTGTCACGGGGTTTCTAACAGGACACTGTCTCCTCAACGAACACCTCAGTGGGCTGAAACTGAGAAACAACGGCGAATGTAGATTTTGTGGGGAAAATGGGGAAACACCAGAACACCTTATCACTGAGTGCGCCGAGACGACGACCATTCGTGCCATGAACCTTGGTACGTCTGATGTCGAGGATGGAGAGCTGGCCTCTGTGGAGCCGTCTCAGATACTGGCTTTTCTTAAAGCCCTGAGACTGTATGATGAGTTATAACTCGTTATAACTCAAGAAAGGGGAACACACAATAGATCTATAAGGTCCCGGTGATTAACTCCCCTCCTAAACATTCTACATTCTACAGCTCTTCATTTTACTTTATAGAGCGAATGATTGTAACAGATATTTTATTTAGATTAAAGCTGCAAAAATTAGTTTTAAACGAATTTTATTATCGCTATGTTGGTCACATTGCGCCGTGTTCAGCAATCTTGTCCTTTATTATTTGACAATTATCCTAGTCAGTCATTATTTTGTATAATATCGTGTTGTTATTGAATCTTTGTGAGTAATTCTCGTTTTTTTCCTATTTTCATTGTCTTTTTTAAAAATTGCACATTTAAACACAAACAGTCCTTTTAAGAAATAAATTTTCGAGTTTTTGTATTGCATTTCTTGAAATTCTGTGTTGAAAATATACCGAAGCATTTAAACAGTCGAAGCAAAGAGCTTGTAGCTTCCCTGTTTTTTTAAACTATTTTGAACGAGAACGTGACAATAAAGGCGGAATTACATTACTGCCACGTCACATGAGTTCACATGCTATCACAGTAAAAGTGAGTTCACGTGTGGTTTAAAGGAAACACATTAGTATCACGTGGTTCTTTCATATTATGCGCATTTTATTATGAACCGAAAGCCATTTCTCGTTCGTTCAGCGTTCTTCTCAAGTTTAACAACTTAGGTCGTATACTTAACGTAATAATGAATCAAATAAATAGTTCTTCATCTTCATCTTCTGAGTTTGAAAAAGATTTTGAAAAACATATGTGCTTCACTTGTGGTTGCTGATACTATTAAAACTAGGCAATGGGTTCATGATATTAATTTGAAAAGAGAGTAATTTGTTGATCAGTTATTGTAAAGCACGTCGTGTAAACGTACTTTTTCTATTAGAATTTCTTCCATTTTACAAGCCTCACGTTTTCACGCCTCACGAAATTGATGTTAAAACAGAATATTTGAGCGCGAAACAGCTCGCAATATTACGTGATTTCACATGAATTCCCCAAGTGACAATAATGTGTTCACCCATGATGTGTTGATTAATAAAATAAATGCAAAACATCGGTCTCATCAAATTTACTGCTCATGTGTGTTCACGTGAATTCACGTGACGTGATAATAATGTAATTCCGCCTTAAAGGTCCTTTTTACCCTGGACTGCAGTCAGAAAAGTAAGTTTGATTGATAAGTACATTATACCACTTTCAAAGTTAGTTTCTATTAAATTCTGATTATTAGTTTGTGCTTTAATAGCACCCTCTTACTTGTTGTTACCACATATGGCATTTGTAAGATCAATAAATAAATAACCCATAATAACGCTTGTAATAATCTTCATAATGCACTAGTTTTTGCCAATATGTAATAAATAAAATAAGCTATAAAACAAATAAATCAATTAATCACTAAAATATTAGTTATTAAATTAAAAATAAAACGTAAAACTCTTTAAAAAATGATGTAATAAATATGTTGTCTGTCAATTTTAAATTAAGAATCATCTCATAAATCAATCACAATCTCGCAGCACCTTGTCACTCAAAATTGATGACGTGCATCTGAAATTGTTTTGCGATTACCGTAGATTAATAGTTAAGTTTTTATTTTACAGGTGCAAATACTTCAAGAAAAAGAGTATACACTTCGCTGTACCAGCTGTGCATACTATTTGATCATGTGGTTCGGCAAAGGATATAAATTTACAGCTTTTAATGCAAATTACATCATAAATAAAACTATTTTTTTACACTAAATGTAATAATTGTTCTTTCTAGAATAGAGTGATTTTTTTCAGTGTTTTTGTTTGTTCAGTTTTTCTAGGCATTCTTTGACCAACTTTGAATTGATGGTTACTGAGTTGATCGCTTCTAGGGCTGCTTGATTATCAGATAAGATGGTTATTTCTTTTTTCCGGTAGTTTCTATACAGGGTGCTACAAATTCGGGGTACGAGTATTGGTATCTCGATAACCGTAATAGATACGTTCACCAAGACGCCATCAAAAAGACTTACGAAGAAGTAAATTATTATTTTTCTTGTAAAACAATATCTGCAAGAAATCAAGCGTCAAACCGCACAAACTGACTTTGAACTTAAAATTCCTGAAGCATTTTTAATAAATAATAATTATATTATTTTCGTTTTTGTTGTATTCCTCGTATGCGTTGTATTACTCAATATTTGTGGTAAACCAAAGAGCATATTTTAATAGAATTCAATATTTATCATTAATACATATATTTGATTTTTTTACTGTTATAGTTATTATATTATTAGCTATTTATAGTTATGTATCTATTAACCATTTAAAATAAGAAAATTGTTGTCAACTTTCGGTATTTCCGGAAGTGCCGCCATATTGAGAATATTTTTAATCGATAGATCTCATTGTAAAACAGTGATGCGCAAAAAATCTCCGATCTAGATATTGTAGTTCTCTAGAAGAAGTTCTTTTATATCAAATTAATTCAGTAACAAATAAAATAATTAAGAATCCAAATTAGTAACAAAACAGGATAATTAAAATTTTACTATGGAATTTTTCCGTTGTTTAAGATTTTCAAGTGATTAATTTTTGTCGTACAGTTAATTATAAAACTATCCTTTAAAAAATCAAAAAACCTAAATATCAATTATCACAACTAGTAGCCTTCAAGCCCAACATTGACACAGTACGACGGTTCATGCATCGGTGGTGTCGCGGTTTTCAACACATTCAAATTATAATATTCTATAATTAGTTAATTTATTTATCTCTAAAAAAATAGGATCCGTCAAAGATGTTTAGAAGAAGGGATAATAAATGTCTTCAGTGGCAGTTTAGATATAAAAATCAAGTATTCTTGAATTATTTATGAAGTAATATTGCGATGTTTAGTTTGAATTTTTGTTCAGTACTTTAAAAAATGTCAGTGAATATAATTTTCGTGGTATTTGTGTTATTCTTGGTGGAGTTTGTTATAGCTGGTAGTTACTATTATGCAGGAAATTATCCTTATAATTCAAATTACCCTAGCATACCCTACAGCAAGACATATCATTATGGATTGAGTGGGTATGACACACATAAGTATGGATATCATGGATACTATGGTTATGGAGGGGACCATATTGAAGATAAACACTATGATGATGATGCCTACCATGATGATGACGATGATGATGATTATTTTGATGACGACGATGAAGAGTTCTTCAACTGGTGGCCTTTTAAAGGCTTTGGGTTGGGTTACGGATACGGTGTTCCCTACAAGTATCCCAAAAAATTTGTTCCAGCTATTACTATACAGTCTCCAGTGGTTAAAGAATATGTACCGGTTGTACCTGCAATTGGTAGTCCTGCAGTAACGGCAACGTCATTGTATCAGACCCATCCTAACCCTGGAGGATATTATGGGTATGCTGGGAACTATGGTTATGGGAAAGATTATTATCCAAACTATAACAGTGCATATGACGCACACAAGAAGTAGGGTTCTAGTCATTTTTAAAATTACCTGATTAATTCAGTAATTTGTGAGGTTTTATTGAATATTTAGATATATATTTTTTAAACGATTTTTTAATGTTAAAATTATTTAATATTATTATTATTTGAGTTTAATTTTTATTATTATACAGATGTTGTTATACAACTAACAGTTGTTTATATGACTTTGTGTAAATAATGAATTTAATCACATTCAGGCTTTATTTGAAAAAAAATATATAAAAATGATTTTTTTAAATTAATATTATTTTATAAAATACATATTGTAATTCATCTGTCTTCATTCATTAGTCTGAGATTATTAAATATAAGTTTTTTTGTAAGTTATTTAATAAAAATGCTATAATATTATATATCTTTAGTAATAATCTTAATATTTTTTTTTCTTGAAAATGCATTATAATATATTTTATTCTTTTTTGTTGTTATTATATTTAATATTATACAGGTTGAGTCTTAAATAAGTGCACACATTTTTAGGGGTGGTATATTTTAGTCCCAGAAACGCGTCTTAAAGTTTTTTCGAGATTTCTTTTTAATTTTTTGTATTTTTCGATTTTTTTTATTTTGTTTTATTTTTTTTATTTATTTTTTACCTATTTTATTTTTTTCAATTTTCTGTTATAAAACAGATTAAATTTAGTGGAACCTAATCAAAAAAAATCCAGTGATTCTCAACAAAAAATATTGTTTTTTTTTTCTAAATTTTTAAAGTAAACGGTAAAGAAAAAATATTTTCTTTTATCGAGATCTACCAGCCCTGTGAAAATATGTGCAGTTATTTAAAATTCACCCTGTATAATGTAGTTGATCATCTACCATTATTTTTTTTAAATATTCTTTTGTTGAGAATAATTTCTATAATAATTTGTTGTTATATTTATCTTTATTTTTATAATTCATCATATAAAAATATATTTATAATATTAGCCACATTAAAATACAAAATAAAAGTTTTACATTAATAAAACACATTTCTAAAAAAATTACATTATTTTATTAAATAATTTTTCGTTAATTTATTTTTTATATATCTGTAGTAAAAAAATATAATAAGTATATACATAAAACAGCATGACTTTCCGTTTTTTGATACAGTAAAATGCCAGAAACTAAATGCTTGTAACTATGTAATTTTAGGTAAAGAAACATTTCTTCTTGTAGGTACGACATCACAAGTTTTGGAAAAACCACCAATCTTTGTGTCATTAAACTATCTATTGGTAATCAAGCTACAGTTATATACAGAGTGAATAAAAAATATAACGTTATCTTTATATAAAATTATATAAAACACTATAAAATAGAATCACAATACACAAGTTAAAAAAATAAGGCACTAACTAAAAAAAAATCTACAACTTTTTCTCTGCATCCTTAAAGACTTCTTGAGAATTTGTTGTCACAATTTTTTTATTTTTTCCCAATTCTTCTTTCTCAAGACTGTCGTTAACTCCAATAATATCACTCCAGGCCTTTGAAACTTTTTTGAGATCAATTCCATCTCCTAAAAGACTTGGACTGCTCAGAACATGTTCGTTTATAACTGACTGGTCCCAAAATGGCTGCTCTTCAAATCCAAAGGGTTTTGAAGGTGGTAACACCAATGGTAAACTAAAAGGACTAGTAGAATGGTGAAAGGGGTTACCAAAAATATTCTTTTTGTATCCATAGCCCACTGTTGGTACTGATTTGTGTACTACATGCGCAAGACTAGGTACAACACCGTGGAAAGAACCAATAATAGGATGCCCATGGTATGATACTTTCGGATGGTGACCAAATACTGTTGGTTTATGAGGAGCAAAATGATGATGGATGCTTGGTTTAGAGAATATGTCTTCACGGAATTGATAGCTAAATGGTTTAGAATGAATATGTGGACTAGCAACGATGATCTTTGGTTTTGAAACTGGATGAACAACGTAATGGTACGAAGTTTTTGGTATCACAGTATGATGGTGATGTACAGGTGAAAGCACTAACGGGTGATGATCGTGGTGACCATTTATTCCTAAAGGTTCAAAGTGGTTAAAGCTGTTCACTACCGGATAAAATGTTGTCGAAATACTGGTCTTTATCATCGAAATTAATACGTACACAAAAAAAGAAGTTTTGCACATTTTTTTTTCTGTTTCTACCCGATTGCTTAGTAAAACAAAACTGAAGAACAAACAAACTAAAAAGGGATTTTATACTAAAAGAATCTTCAATGCTTTCTTCCTATATAGGTAAGTAATTATCAATGGAGCATTGTTTAGATTTTCTGTGCAAATTAAATCAAAATCATCTTTAGTTTTGAGCGTTCTTCACGCATCGCTACTTTCTTCATTATATTTTCTCGGAAGAACTGTTGACTTTTGAATTGATAATCTGTCGATTTTGTTGTGTTTCTTTGTTTTTCCGAGATATTTTTGGAGGTCTCAGTCGGCCATTCTGGGAAGCTTTTGTTTTTAATCGAATTATAATTACCCAGTAAGCTGTTAATTGTTTTTAGGAGGATTGTTTTTTATGCCTCGCTGATTGTTGGATTTTGAGTTCTTTGTCCTTCTCGAAAAAAAAAATATAATTCTGATTGATATATTATTAAATCCTATCTGAATATTGTCATTATCAAAAACTTTTGTGTTTTTTATAAGCTCAGATAAATATTATAAATAGACAAAATTTGCAGTACAAAATGAAGATATTTAAGATATAAAACAAGACCTTTTCTCGATACTTACAGTTTACTTTTATTTAATTTATCTACAATAGTTTAATAAGTAAGTATTTATTATTTTACCAAAAAAATAATAAAGAAGTAGTTCTTTGATTTATATTACGATGACTTGTAGATATATTGGATTTTCTTTAAAAGAACCAATTAAGGCAAATTCATTTTCTTCACTTCCAAAGATAGGTTTCTGCTTAATAGGTTTTTCATATACCACACTATCAGCCCGGCGAAATAAGAAAAGTAGTTTTTTAAAGGAACGCTTGTCAAGAAAATTCCTATTTGAATATCTTTGAGCATAAACCCTTTATGCGAAGAAGTAAAATTGTCGTAATAAAAAGTATTTATTATTGATAATAATAAATACTTACCTATTAACCTTATTGGAGGTAAATTAAATAAAAATAACCTGTTATAAATTTAAATAAAGTCTATAAATTAATGTCGATTTTGAAAATAGCTACTAAGTGTCACTAGAAAATTTCCATGACGACACCAGACATCTTGATTACAATTTGATTAAAAAATCGAAAGAATAACAATTTTTT